TAGTTTAATTCCTGGGGTGATGCTTGTAAATTGTCTACGGCAAGTAGCTGTATTGCCAGCATTTAGAGCCCTTTAGAAATGACTGCTTCTCAGAGTGTCTTCCAGGTGTAGCTGGCTTTTGGGTTTTGAATCTGCTCCTTCTATTCACTGGGGGTGAGAAGTTGCTGCCTACTGGGTTCCATCCCTGGTTCTTTGGCACTGGCTTATCGGAGTTTTATGACCCTTAGGCAGTCTCATTCTTGATATATCAGGAAGAAAAACTGGCTAGAACAATTATGTCACCCTGGTTACAGTGGTACAATCAGTAATAACTATAGCATTAAACGCAGCCTAGAAAACAACAAACTGATATAACTAGCAATTTGACACCTTTAACCAGAGGAGCTATACTTTCAATTGTATAACAGAATCTAAAGTGAAGGAGAAAATTGGGTGCAGGAAACAAGCCCTCAACATGGAGAATTTTATCCTCAGGAGAGAAAATTTAAAAGGGGTTAGGAGGCAAAAAGAGAACTAGAAGAGGAAGAGATTAGGAGAAGGCTGGAAGACAAAGGAAGATCACGTAAACACTGAGAAAGTGGTGAAGAAGATGGAGAGAGGGGCTGGGGATTTAGCTTAGCGGCATAAACGCCTTCCTTGCAAGTGTGCGGTCGTGAGTTCGATCCCCGGTACCAATAAAAATGAAAAAAAAAAAAAAAAAAAAAAAAAAAAGGAGAAAAGTAAGAAAACACTATGTCTAGTCCAAGGCGTGTTTCTACTGTTACTGGTAGACACCACGGGCAGACAGAGTCCAGATCCAAACTGATTAGTCCCAGAAAACCAGCGGTAACTCGACAGCTCAATAATCCAGTCCAGCCTACACCTTTTTTTTTTTTTTTTTTTTTTGTCTTTTTCCTTTTTTTATCGGTACCAGGGATTGAACTCACGACTGCCTGCTTGCAAGGCAGGCACTTACGCCGCTGAGCTAAACCCCCAGCCCCCCAGCCTGCACCTTTAACGCCACCGAAGTTGAGGCTGGTTTCTTGCTGTGAGCTGGAACCAGAGCTGTTCATCCCGCAGCGGTCTGTATGCCCCCTCCAGCTTGAACCCGGCTCCTTTGAACTCAGCTCCCCGAGTTCCTGCTGATTTAAACTCAGCTCCCTTACCCTGACACTGGGAGCTGCCAGATGGGGCCAGCAGTTGCACCGAGTTCTGAGCTCAGCTGGCCCTTCTCCAAGATGGCTACTGGTCAGCCACCATCTTCTGGGGGACATCTGAACCCATACACCTCACCAGCCACTGCAGTTCACTGTGTCCACTGACTGCACCAGTCCACTGGTGTGTTTCTCTGCGGAGGCCTCTGGGATCCCCAGCGGTCACCATGCATCTGCAGGTTTGAGCTGCCCCTCCCATGCAGTGTGTCCAGGCTCAGGGACAGGGCACCGCCTGCAGCCTCTGCCTTCTTTTTATTGAAGTCTTTCTCCCCCAAGGCTTCAATCTCATCTCATATCTTTCCCAGGTTCTGGGATACGTCTGTCTCCTTCTCCTCACACTGCTATATTCCAGTGTCTGGACACCAAATCTCTGCTGCTCACTACCCCACCGCCTTCCTGGAAGTCAAGCTCTTTCTGTTTTTTTTTTTTTTTTTTTTAAACTTTTTATCGGTACCGGGGATCGAACTCACGACCGCCTGCTTGCAAGGCAGGCACTTATGCCGCTGAGCTAAACCCCCAGCCCCTATTTACTGAATTTTTAATACCTAACATATTGTATGTGGTTTGAATTTATGTGCATTTTAAAATTTCAAAATGGATAGTAATTTTCCTATAGATGGTGTATAGTTGGATTTTTAAAAAAATGCAGTCTAACAATCTCTGCATTTTGACTAGATTTCTAAAAATTTAATTTAAGGTTGGGTATGGTGGTGCATGCCTATAATCCCAGTACTCTGGAGGCTGAGGCTGGAGGATTGCTGCAAATTTGAGGTTAGCCTGGGTTACAAAGTGAGTTCAAGGCCAACCTGAATTGTATAACAAAACCCTGTCTCAAAAAGACCCCCCCAAAAGTCCAATTTAATTTAAAATTTAAACTGAACAAAAAAGCCAGAACAGAGTGTGTCTTACATAAAACATGGAGGTCAGAATCAGGCAATCTTAATACATACTACTAAGTTAGGAGGGCAGTTATCTTTATAAGGTCTGGCACTAAGGGGTCACAAAGCAGGCTTCTCAGTGCTGGTAATGTCCTGTCTCCATCTATATAAAATTATCAAGCTGTATACTTAGATCTTTGGACTTTTCTGTGTATCTGTTATACTTGAAGCAAAACATCTGAACTGAGAAAAGATACATCCCTAATATTCTACCAAGCTCTGCAACCGTTTCTAGGCATGCAGTATGTCATCTCTCCCTTTGCCTTTCTGAATGCTCCTTACATGCGGCGTTCATCCCCCGTCCCCAACAGCATCATGAGGTCTTCTTGCATTTTCAGGAGTGTTCCCTCCTCTCCTCGGTCCAAGGCAGTTCTTGGAGGAGTTCCTTGCTCACACCTATGCATAAAAGTCTGTTTGATGGTTTAGGAGTTGAGTGACCGCTTTAAGCTGCCACCAGGTGATGGGTACCTAACTTCCTTCCTTTGAATGAAGACTTAATTAGTTTACAGCAGTGCTCTGTTTTCTGCAGCATTGTTATGTGGTTGTGGCAGGATCTGGAGTGACACAGCTCCTGTGGAGAACTGCTGGGTGAGGCTCCAGGGAAAAATGAGATAAGATTCTTCAAAGTCTTATTCTCTGGCAGTTTACCCCTCTCTGCCGCCTGGGGGCTGCAGTGCAGCTCCCTGCTTGGGGTGCCACATGCGACAGCATCACAAGAGGAGCTACCTTCGCTCACCTCTTGCATTTTTCCTGTGATCTCTTAAAGCAATTGAATGGTTCACTTCGTGCTTAAGCTGGACCACGATTCCTCAAACCTGGCACTACTGGTGTTTTGGATTGGACAGTTTTTTATTGAAGAGGCTACCTTGTGCATTGTAGGATGTGCAGCATCCTTCATCAGTGCCCAGTAGGCGCCAGTAACCTTCCTCTCTAAGTCATGACAACCAAAACTGCATTCAAACACTGCCACATGTCTTCCAGAAGACAAAACTGCCCCTGGTGGAGAAACACTTGGCTGGACTGGCTTACACGTTACTTTAGCCCAATGATCTGAAGAGAGCCCCATCCGTGTGTAAATTATGCTAAACTGTTATGACCCCTAGTGTACTGGATTTGTTCAAAGAACTGGACTGGGTTGGGCATGGTAGCACACGCCTGTAATACCAGCACTTGGGAGGCTGAAGCAGGAGGATCACCAGGAGCTTGAGGTCAGCTAGGTCACATTAGTGAGTTCAAGGCCAGTTAGAGCTACACAGCAAGACCCTGTTTCAAAAAACAAAAAATAAAACAAACGAACAAAAAAGGAACTGGGATGGCAGAGAGGTCCAAAATTACCATTTCATCTTGATAGTTCTCAAGGCCTCAGTGCCCAGTGAGACCTGTGAAAGAAAGGCAGAATCCTTTCATTGCTTCCCATACTGATACCTGGGAAAAGTTATGAAATCCATGCCAGGCATCAAGTGGGAACTAGACACGCATTCCTGAAGCAGAAGCCCACATCCCACAGCTCTGAAAAGACACAGCCACCAGGCCACTTCAAGGACAGTTCTCCCTTGACTACCTGGGCGTAGGCCATGTGACCCCCTCATCCTCCGATGTCCTTGACGAAGCCTCCAGATGGCTTCTTCTTGAACCCCAGGACTTCTGTCAGATGACCACCAGGCTAAAGTGGGCCATTAAGGTCCTGCTGCTGGTGTCTCCACTTCTGTAGGGCCCACGGTGCTCAGTCCCCCCAGGTCACTTCTGCATCCTCGGGGGTGAGGGGACAAAGACAGCCCTGAGCACTCTGTTCCTGAAATGAACCCTTCCGGTGCCTTAAAACTTGATGTACCTGGGAACTGATCAGAAGGCAATAACTTCCTTCGGGAGTAATTTTACAATTAAGAATTCTAAAAAAGCAAGAGGCTCTGGGCCGATCAAGAAATTCAAATACACGTAACTGTATACAGTTGTTTTCAGCATGAGGTGATCCTGGATTTACCGGAAAAGGGCCAATTGTACAAAGGGTGTGTAAGTCAGAGCACCATATGGCCAGACTGTCTAATGAAAAACGACACTCCGAAATTTCAGTCTCAAATGAAAGCTTGCTTTTAAGAGTAAAAAAAAGTGAAGAAATTTTATTTATATTTATAAATATATTGATGTCAAGTAAAATATTATGAAACACAAGATGTTCTAAAATCAGATTTCAGCATGGAGTTAAGCTCAAGAAAATGTATCACTGGCACCCCTGTTTAAGGACTTTCAGTTGGGATTCTAACATCTGCTTTCCTTGTGTCCTGAGGTGCTATTTCTCATTTCCTTCCCTGTCTGTCACCCTCCTGACACCATGCACATCGCCTGTCAAAAGTGTGCAGTTTCAACCCATGTATTTCCTATGGATTTAGGCAATTGATCAAATTCTGTTAATGTTCCCAAGTGTGATGTGTGCAGATTTCCTCCACTCTACCTAAAACCCCCTCATTAGGGTTTTGTCTTCAGAGGAAAGGGTGTTGAGAAAAAGTACAAGTGACCCCGAAGGACTAGAAGCAGTAATTTCACTTACTCTTTGTGGTGTGTTTAATCACGATTCCTCCAACATCCAGACTCCAGGAGGAGTCTTAATGCAGTGGAAGAGGTTTGAGGGTACAGTGGGTCAACCCTAAAAGTGGGGTTCTAGGAGGTCAAAGAACAGTGAAGGCCCTGGGACAGCTCTTTGTCCCGCAGTGGTCTGTATGCCACAGTTCCATGTGCCATGGCTGTGACAGACAGAGAGGAGGCATCGGCTCCCCACACAGGAACCAAGAGACCAAGTGGCAAGCGGCAAGGCGAGGGGACTAGCTTTTCCCCTTTTGCATCTAATGCTCATCTTTCATTATTCCTGTTTCAGATAATCTAGCAGCCTTCTCCTGGGAAATCAGGAACCAAAAACCTTGGTGTTTCTTCCATCTGATTTTCTGGGCATGCAGGAAAGAGGGTTGGTCACCCAACTTTTTACAAAAACTCTAGTCTGCTCAGCCTCCCAGTGAGTCGCCACGTGACGGGAGGGGATGGATCAAAACTGAGTTTTCTTAGCCACTGAAGTCTGACCCCCGCTAAACTTCCTGGCCTTTGAATAAACACAACAGAGACCATGCAAGAAGTAGCTACAGTTTAATACAAACCTGTACCAGAACACAATGTGTTGGGCTGTTTTGTTTTTGCCTCAAACGGTGGCCAAAGCACAGGACGGTGTGTCGTCTTGGGGTTGACACAATCTTAGCACCATGACATTTACAGAGGAGTGAGGAAGTCACTTGGGTGCTGGAGGCTCCATCCTGACCCCAGGCTGTGCCTGCTGTCTCAGCAGCTGGAGAGGGTTTGGGTTTCCACGCGGTTCTGTGGTTTCTGGGTCAGTATGGGGTTCTGTGGTTTCTGGGTCAGTATGGGAAAAGCCCTCATCACGGCATCGGCTTGACAGGGACCTACTGTGGACTCCTAGCACTACACACACGCACACACGCACACACAGTAGCACAATTTCCTGGTAACTTAACCCCACAAACCTAGAGAGCAGCTAAGGCAGGAACAACAGTATTTATTCAGTAAGTACAAGACCAGTTTGAGAGCTGCATTCGGTGCAACCAGAGACCCTCTGTGTTTCAGCAAGGGCCATCGGGGTTGGTGACAGAGCTGGTTGGAGCTCTGCATGGGGCAGGGGGTGGGTCTGGGGGTGGCTGTCCGTTTGGCTCCTTGAACCTCCTTCTGATTTCCATCTAGAAGCTCCTAGGCAAGGGCAGGGTCTATGGAAGGGTGGGGGTGGATGAAATGGAAGGCCCACAATGGACTCCTCGTAGATGCAGCCTCTCAGTGCCCTGAGTCCCGCATCGTTGGGTGGAGGCACTCAGAGAGGGTGAAGCTTCGCTAGCCCAAGCAGGGTGCTCTGCCCAGCTGGCCCCACCACCACTTGGCTCTTTGGCATCTGCCCAAGGCCACGATCCAGCAAGGGCTAAAAGGGGTAAGCAGATGAGCATGGTACCAGAGGTCAGTGTCATGGTTTCCCTTATCCGTGGTGGCTTTCTCCAGTCCAGGCCCCTATCTGTGTACCATGACTGACCCCTGGGTTACTATCTCTGTCCTCTCAGCCCCCATATGAGGACACTGGGAGTGAATGGATGATGTGGATGCAGCTCAAACCACATGGGAAGCCTACAACAGTTTTTGAGTCCTGGCTCAAATCAAGAATATGCATTCATTTGTTTACAGCAAAGCTGAGGGGGGAAAACAATCTATCTACTTGTGCAAAACAAAGCAGACTGCCTACCTGGGAGTAAGTCTTGTAGTTGGTTATGCTCTTGGTGGGATCAACAACAGCCATCACCCCACACCTCCCCTCCACAGCAAGGCTAGACAGCCAGGGCCATAAGGTTGTTGTGGCCTGTTTCTGGGGCCAGATGGTCAAAATCTTCTGTGACTCATTCCCACATATGTAAAATGGGGAGAATAATACAGTGATACCTCGGTTCACGAACTTAATTTGCTCTGCAGTTTTGGAAAATATGGCCATGTTTGTGTTTGTGTGGGAAAGAGGGCTTCGATCCTTTTTGTCATCCAGTGCCGAGTTTGAGAAAAATATTTGCCAAATGCTTCTGTTTACAAACCAAACTGTTTGCAACAAAAGTGCCTGTGAACCAAGGTGCCACTGTATACATTCCACTGTCATGAGGAGGACCAGGTGACAGCTTGACTTGGAAGCACTTTGATACATGAAAAGCACTACAGTCATGTGCAGGGTGTGACTATTAGCCCAGAGTCCAGGGGCCTCCTGCAAGCTGGGGTGCTCAAATCCAGGGCATGACATGAAACCACTTCCCAGAGTGAGAAATGAGATGTATCAAGGGCAGGCCGACAGGCTACTTCCCAGATTGCTTGGGGTGTATGAGGGTCACTCCGGCTCTGTGGTTCCTGGAGGGGGAGCCTTTGAGGAGCTTCCGGAGCAGGGAGGGACATGCGGGGCGGTGAAGCCACCACCAGTGAGGAGATGGCAGTGACTATAGGACACCACTGCACCTGCGCAGGGTGTGTGGGCACTACACCCCGTGGTGAAGCCTCCCTCCCTGGCCCCTCTGACTAACCAATTTCTGCTCTCAGCAGGCATCAGGCCTCTTGCCAGTCACACAGGAGGAGTAGTTGGGCCTCTGTTCAGCAGGAGGAGGGTGCAGCAAGCTCTGTGGGTGAGGGTGTGTGTGGGTGAGTGTGTGTGTGTGTGTGTGTGTGTGTATGTGGGGTTAGTGCTGGGAGTGACCAGGGGCAAAGATGGGAAGGGCCCCCCTGCTGCCTGCAAGTCTCCAGGGCCAAGATCCAGGGCCCTCTCAGAATGAAGCGAACCCCACTGGCAGGGGAAGAAAGGGGCCTGGGCCCAGGGCCTACAGCAGCTGGAGAACCCCAGGGCAGGGGCGAGAGGGGCTGCAAGCCTTCCCACCCCACCCCGCGCTCTCTGGTTGGTGCTGAGTGCAGCATCTCCTACGGACCACATCTATTCCTGTTTCTATGCTATGCTAGTGACACAAAGCACCGTTATTTTCCACAGGATGCACAAACAAGTCAAACCAAACCACTGCGCAAACCAAACGTGCAAAACAAAACCATTTACACGCGCCTGGCACCAGCCTCGGACCCCTGCCCAGTGACCCCTCTGGGCCTGGGCTCCCGGAGGGTTTGGGTGTGGAGTGCAAAGAGGCTGGGAAGGGCACAGGGTGTCCGGACCACACCCACACCCAGGATGTCCCGGGCATGGCTGGGGAGCGGACACCTGTCTGACTTAGGAAATGTCAGCGCAGGGTCTAAGGGGGTAGGAGAGGGAGGTCTTTACTTATAAAACACATCTGCTAAAGTGCTCTGGACACCAGGCCGGGTGGCCAGGGCCAGGGCACTAAAGTCTGGGCCTTCCGAGAGCCAGTACAAGAGGCAGTGGTGACAGGAGGGGCTGGGCAGGTGCTATGCATCGGGTTCTGTGCATAGTGTAGGCTTCCAGGGCCCAGAGAAGCCCACCCAGGCCACGGCAGGAGAGGAGCACAGCAGGAGGACAGCTCAAAGTGCCTGTTAAGGGCGGCTCGAAGCCTAGTGAATCACGTTCTGGCGAGGGGGCTCCCCGGGTCCTGGGGCCCCCGTAGGCAGTGCGCTGCCCAGCCCAGCCTCTCCTGCCCGCTGCAGCTGCGGGCGGCAGGTGGCAGCGGTGTATCCTCCCTTGCGGGGGCTGGTCGGTGCCTTTACCAAATGCCGCTTGATCTGCCTCCAGGGGGCGCGAGGATCCTGGCCGAGGCTCGCTTAGGGACGTGGTCGTCAATCTGAGAACCTGCAGGCGGGAAAGGCCAGGGTGAGGCGGGCGGCTCCTCCGCCCAAAGGGCCACAGCCCCAGGGAAGGCGGCTCACTGGGTGCGGTGGCTGAGCACGTTCTCACCGAATCCTCACCACGACTCCACCCAGTCTCACCAAGGGGGAAACTGAGGCCTAGGAGGGTAGTAGCGTGGTGTGGTTTCCGCTGCAGAGCCTCTTTGACTAACTGTCCACTCACTGTGCCACCTCACTGTACCCCAGATGGGGTGCGTGGTCTCTCTTGGCGCCTGTAGACCACAGGTCAGCCTTTGCACACCTGCCTCAGTAAGCAGGCAAGGCAGGGTACAGTGAGTGCGCCCCACCGCTTTGGAAAAGGAAAGAATCTTACCCCAAGCCCCCCACATCTTAACATCCCGAGACATAGATAGAAAGGGAGCCCCAGAAAACAGAGAGGGGGGCATTCTTCAACCTGTCCCACTTGGAACAGGCAAGATTTGGAACGGAGGGCAGGCGACAGGCTGCCGGGGTCCACATGGCTGAGCAGAGCTCTGCTGGGTGGTGGCTATGGGGCAGGGACAGAACCTCATTGACCACCGGAGGCCCTACCCAGGAATCCTCCCCTGCTGGGACGGTGAGGCCCTCCTGACACATCTCTCTGACTCCTGGCTTTCAGTCCCATCAGTAGTGGAAGTGACAGTGGCCCTCAGGATGTGTGAGTGGGACAGATCCCTTCCCAAGGGCCACTGACACCTAGAATGAGAGTCACATGTCCTTGCCAAGGCTGCTCTCAGCATAAAGCTGGGCACAGAGGAACCACAGGGGTTCCTCCCCATGCCCTCTGGCTTGTCTCTCACACTGCAGTAATGTTTGGCCTCATTCTCCCAGTGAACTTCACGTGGCAGGCAGTGACCCAGGTCCTGTCCTCTTGAGGTCCCTGCTCCAGAATGGCCCTTGCTGAGCAGATCCTTTCTGGGCTGGTTCTGAGTTCCTGCCCACTTCCGAGGTGGGGTGGGGGTGGGGGTGGCAGTTCCCACCAAGGCTTGGAGGACCAGGGCATCTCTCAGCCTGTGGCCAGTCTCCACAGGGGCTACAATATAGGAGGAGAGGAGCCCACCCGAGTACCACAGAACACATGAGATTGGTGCTGTTGATAACAGCACGATCCTTAAGACGCGGACAGCACAGCCCAGAGGAGCCCAGGGTGTTGGTGACAGCTACTAGCATTAAGGGGACCAGATATGTTCCAAGGAAAGAAACAAAGTCAGAGTTAAAAGGGTAAAAGATCTTATTGAAGTCAATGCAGTAGACTGTATATATAACAATTCTTGGTTAGAAAAAAAGAGGAAAGGAGGACAAAAGCCAGAGCGGGGTGCAAGGTCGGGGGACGGGAAGACTCACAGGGACGAGCAGGATAGAAAACCCTTCGGAGAGGCCGGGAATGGGAGGGCCAGCGTGGTGCGGTTCCGTGAACTGGTTCTCCTGAGCTCGGGTCACCTCTGGGGTACCCTGTGCAAGGCGCTCAGGGCGTTTCAGGATAGAAACAAACTTAGAAGCCAAAAAGAGAGCCCAGAATATGCCAGGCCCCACAATTTCTGTGCCTGATAGCAGACCCAACACTCCTCGCAGGGCACAGAGAGCCAGGAGGAGGCTCTCACCACCCCGCCAGCCCCTGCCACACCCCCAGCCTTACCAGAGAGGCTGAAGCTGGACTCGTGCAGGTCCCGCATGCCCCCGTGTCGGGTGACCGGCCGTGTGGGGGTGTCTGCCAGCGGGGTGCCCATCTCTTTCTTCCCAGGATGCACAACCACCGCAACGTCCCCCAGGTAGGGGGTGCGGTCCACGCCCCTCACCTTTGAGGTCTGAAAAACAGAGTGGCATCAGTCCTAGGCAAAGTGCCACAGCCTGCTCAGTGGTGGATGGGATGCCAGGCGCCGCCACTGTGCCTAGGACCCAAGTCGTGCAGATGACAAGGCCTTTTGTGCCTTGAGCCCAGGGACTAGAGAATTCTTCAAAGCTGTTTTTTATTGGTATATTTTAGTATACCAATAAAATGTATACAATAACATTCATCATAGGGAATTTGTTCCTGTACACATCTTGCTTCTTTTTTCCTTTTCCTCCCCTCCCTTCAACCTCTTTTCCCTCCTTGTTTAGAAAAGGATCGTTTCCATTTTTTGTTTCTATTCAGCCTAGAAAGTCCGTGAGCCCTCAAAGAGTGCCTGCGCATGCGCACAGGAGAGCCCCCCCCCCCCCCCCGCCGCGGTCCCCCTTGCACAGGGCAATGTCATCCTGTCCGTGCAGGCTTCCCACGAAGCTAAACCTTTAACGCAGCCTGACAGCTGTGTGGGAATGGAGATCTGAATTAGTTCTGTCCGCACAGAAGCAGCAGGGTTAAGGGCTGTGTTCTGCAGCCCGGCTGCCTGGGTCCACACGCTGGCCAGTTCTAGCACTGGGAGCTGGGTGGCCCTGCAGAGTCACTTCAGCTGTTCCCAGCTCACTCCCAGGCTTCACCCCAGCGAGGAAGTCCTCCTGCGAGGGGGAGGGCGGGTGCTGGAGTGTGTGCCGCGTCTGAGGGGGCAGTACAGCTGGCCTGCACCCACTCAGGGACGCGACCCTGGAAACAAAAGCCCCCTCGCTGAGAGCAACACAGACACGGGACAGTCTCCCCTGCATCCTTGACACTGGTGGGCAGCTGTTTCCCACCCCCAGAAGACCAAGCCGGGCCAACAGGACCAGGCCTTTGCTAGCTGCCTCTGGGCCTCCCCGTCCCCTGCACCAGGTTGCTCTTCCCTGAAGTCTTCGCTCTAGGGCTGCTCGCCTGCGATGTTTGGATTGTGAGTTTTATTTATGTGTTTATTTTGATCATTGTCGTTTTCTGTAGCCCTGAACTCTGTGACTGAGAACAGGGACCATAGCTGGTTTCTTCCTGAAGTTTTTAAATTGTTATTAGAATAGATAAAGGGCCTCTGGACTGAATTGATATCAACTCCAGCATACTTGCTGGAATGTTCCTGTCGAATTTTTCAAGATGAGGAAGAGTGACACAGGCAGACATTTTAGGCACTCAGATGCTATTCTCACAAAGCTTCCTGAGGCAGTGTTACTGTTGGCCCAACTGGCAGCCAAGGCCCAGGGGCGTTAAACCACTTGTCTGCAGTCACACAGATGCTGGGCATCTGGGCCATGGTATCAGCCTAACTCTGGGACTGGCTGGCCAGCGCTGCAACACTGTCCGTGACCTCTGGGGTTATGAAAGCAGGTGACATTCTGCTTCTCATCAGTTCCCAGGCCTATCCAGCCTTCCCCCCACAACTGTTTCTTTCCCTAATAAAATATCTTTCCTAATACCTGGGACTTCACCCAACTTTCTGTATTGTGCTTTGCAATAGAAACTCCATCTGGCTCAAAGACCTTATGTCCTCCTGGAAGTCATAAGCACAGAAACAGGAGCATCGCAGACTGTCATCTCAGTTCTGTGAGACGGAAGGTGGCTTATCCCAGCTTCTGGGATTTTTGCACTGGGGTCCAATGGCAAGCTCCCTGGGGAGTGCTCTGAATGCTAGCATGGGTCAGGGTGTGTCCTCCCCGTTGTGGACCACGGGGAGAACAGAAATTGGAAGCTTCATGATAGCCTCAAGATCAAAATGAGGAAAGAAGGCACCCCCCAAGGTGGGCGTGTGGCCTTCCCAGAGCAGGCAGGTTGCTGGGCACGCCTCTGCCCCTGACGGAAGCTCGTGTTCCTCTAACAGATTGTGCAAGCCTGGGCGGCCGGAGCTGGACCTCACATGGGGACTCACTGAGTGCCTAGCCCTCAACTCCAGCGTTGCATTTATGGGTCTGCAGGGACATTTTCAAGTACCCCGGATTCCTTTATGCAGTTTCTGGGAACAAGGGAACCAGGTACCCTCCATGACAGGCAGGATTTCGACCCTTGGCATGAGCTGCGAAATGCTCGGTCTGTGTGTGCCCTCAGGTCACCACATTTGTCACTGTCTAATTTCAAAACATTTGCAAAACCTACAAAAGAAACTTCATATATATTAGCCACCTCTCCTCTTCCCACCCTATAAACCATTGTGAATCTACTTTCTGTGGATTTGCTCTTCCGGATATTTCATGTAAGTGGAATCATACAATATATTACCTTTTTTTGTCTGTTTTTTCTTTTTCTAAACTTAGAATTTGGTTTCAAGATTCATCACTATATGCAGGGTCTATCAGTATTTTATTCTTTTTTCGTGGCTGAATACTATTTCATTGAACAGATATACCACAGTTAGCTTATTCAGTCAATAGTCAACACATTGGAGTCATTTCTACCTTGGCCTTATCAATAGTCCTACTATGAACAATCGTGTACATGTTTTTGTGTAGACGTGTTTTCGTTTCTCTTGGGTATGTGGCTAAGAGTGGAACTGGTAGATGCCAACTCCGGATTTAACTTTTTGGGAAAGTCAAACTTTTGCATAGCAGCCACGCCATTTCACATTTCTTCCAGCAATGAATGAAGATTCTTTCACGTCCTCACCCAAACTTGTTTTTTTCTCTGTGTTTTAATACCCTTCCTCCCTCCCATCTCTCCTTTCTTTCCCTCTCCTCCTCCCCTCCTCCAGATTGAACCCAGGGCCTCAAACTGAGCTACATGCCCAGCCTTCTTATTCTGAGATAGGATCTCAGTCAGTTGCTGAGTTGCCCAGGCTGGGCTTGAACTTGTGATCTTCCTGTCTCAGCCTCCAACACCCTGGGATTACAGGCTGGTGCCACCACACCTGACTTCTTCCAGCTCTTTCTGGCACTTTCCCGAGATAGCTGAGCCCGCCCACCATCCACCGGGGAGCTCTCTGGAAGAGGAAGGGACTGTTCACCCGCCTGCGTGAGAGACCCTGAGTTTGCATTTCGAGTCAGTGCTGCGGTAACTAAAGTCAGATCTTTCCCTGGCACCTGAGCCTGCTCCCTGCAGCAGACCTGAGTTTCTTGAAGCAAAGAGCTCAGTGACTCTTGACAGCTCAGGACTTGGAGGGTGCAGAGCCGGCAGGCCCAAAGAGCAAGAAGCACCCAGCAGCCACAGTGCCACAGTGCACAGTGGTGCCACAGTGCCAGGGAACTCGGGACTCTCCGCTGGCCTGCTCCTTTAGGGTCTACCAATAATCACAGCTGGGGAATGGAAGCCGGGCCTGCGCCGCCCTCTCCACACTGCATGCTCGGTAGCAGAGAAAGCATCTTTGAGGTTTCCAGGGCCGCCTCACCCTCTTCCCACTCATCCTCCTCCCCTCTGTGTGGTACCTTCTCTCTCTGGACCAGCTTCTTGTAGACGGTGTCTGGGAAGGACCGCAGCGGGCAGAACTTGCCGGTGCCCTCTGCACACATGAAAACGCCGTTCTCGTAGACCACGCGTCCCCGGCTGATGGTGACCAGCGGCACGCCGTGGCAGCGCATGCTCTCGTACAGGTTGAAGTCTCCCCCCTGCACCTGGGTGCTGGCGGAGATGGTCCTGATGGGACACAAGGGTGGGGAGAAAGCTGAGAAGTGGGAAGGAGGTCCCAGCTCCACGGAAAGGGGCGATATCCACTGCGGAGGGACGGACCCAAAGGCTGCTTGTTATGGGCTGAATTGTGCCCCCTCAACATCCTGTGTTGATGCCCTAACCCCAGACCTTTGACTAGGTCCATACGTGCAGAGAGGGTCTGTGAAAGTCCAGTGAGGTCCTATGGGTGGCCTTGCCCCAAGCTGGCTGGTGTCCTTGTAAGAAGAGAAGGTGACCCCAGTTGTGTGTCACCACGTGAGGACAGCAGGAGAAAGCAGTCAGCAAGCTGGGCCACACTCTCAGGGATGGAAGTGGTGCCAAGATGCTACGCCTTTGGGGCCCCCGGGTCCCGCTAGTCCTGGAGACTAGTGGCAAACTTTACTTTGTCGCTTCTGGATCCCACACCACCACGTCAGCGTCAGCGCCGGGGAGGATGCGGCCCTTGCGGGGATACAGGTTGAGGATCTTGGCTGCGTTGGAGCTGGTGACGGCCACAAAACGGTTCTCATCCATCTTTCCTCCGACCTGAAATACCGCAAAAGTGCCAAGTTACGTGGCTCGGGGCGTGTCCTCTCGCTCACCTGGTCCCCTGGGTCCCTGGCCTCCTAAAGAGGACAGAGCTGTCTGGGCACCGTCTCAGAATGGCGAGTGGGCTCTGCGGCCAGAAGGCACCTCGACCTGTTGTTCATAACTAGCTCTACCCACGTGCCCGCGAGGGGTGGGTCAGGGTCTCCTTTCATCTGCAAAGGGGTTCACAGGAGTCCCCCCTTATCTGGGGAGGACATGTTCCAAGGCCCGCATTGGAGGCTTGAAATTATACTGAACACTTGATAGACTGTGTTTTTCCCTATACGTATGTTCCTATGAAAAAAATTTATAAATCAGGAACTGTCAGATCAACAACTAATAATAAAACAGTAAGAGTTATCTCAAACCTAAGAACTATATTTTCCTGGAGTTTTCTATTTAATATTTTCAGACCAGTGTTGACCACAGACAACGGAAACCCTGGAAAGGGAAAGCGTCCCTGGGGGGGACGACTGCAGGTTCTGCTTGGGGACAGCATCTTTCTGCCCCATGCAGCCACCCTCCCCGGGAGCCGTGAGGACCTTCTCACGGCAGCTCCTGAGCCTGCGTGTGGCCCTTCCCTGAGCACGTGGCTTAGTGTTAGGGACCTCAAACCTCTTTGGAGCTCATAAGTCTTTCTCGAGTCTAAACCGTGATAGATCAAGACCAAAAATACTTATTCTTCATGGGCAGAACAGGTGGTATTCAAATGAAGCTCCAGGCCCTATCGTTCTTGAAACGTAATTAGAAGAAATATACCAAGAGCTTTAAAATTGCTCATATCCCTTGGCCCAGAATTCCCATCTAGGAATCCGTCCTGGTGAATTAATTAGAGATGCTAACATAGATGCATGAACCAAGATGTTCTCTGCAGTATTACTAATGCGATAGCTTGAAGCAGCCAAACATTTGGAAAACTGTGAAAAATGACATTGATTATATATGGTACATCCATTGGAGGGAATATGGTTTAGCCACCACAAAGTCTCTATCTATCTATCTATCTATCTATCTATCTATCTATCTATCTATCCATCTATCTTTCTTGGTACTGACTGTTGCAGTCAGAGCTTCAGCCCAGCCCTTGATCTATTGTTATTTTATTTTTTTCATTCTGGCCCTTATTTTACTTCAGTGAGACAGGATCTCACTAATTTGCTAATTTGTCCAGGCTGGGCTTGAACTTCAGGTTTTACAGCTTCAGTCTCCCAGCTACAGATGTTTTAAAGACTTTTTACTAAAACAAGAAGATATTTGGGGGCTGGGGATTTAGCTCAGTGACATAAGTGCTTGCCTGGCAAGTGTGAGGTCGTGAATTTGATCCTCGGTACCCAAAAACAAAACAAAAGAGACCCCAACAAAACAAGAAGACATTCAAGACATCTGATTATACTGAAGAAAACCATGAATCCAGTTAATGTTAATAGTTGAGTTTTGGGGGATGGAATTACCTGAATTTATTTATTTTTCTTACGTTTTGGGATTTCCAAATTTCTATGGTAGAAATTTATAATTCAGTACCTTTCTAATTCAAGGGGGAAAGCAACTTTCTTGCCTTGGTGTCTGGGGCTGCTGGGGATGGCACGTGCTCTGCCACTGAACCACACACTCAGCCTCTTGTTTTCAAGAGAAGCGGGGAGCCGCGGTTGACCCGGCCGTCCCGAGGCTGACCTCTCCGGGATGGAGGGCAGGGGCCGGCACCTACCACTCCTCGCTCCCAGATGACGCTCATGCGGTCCTGCACCCCGCTCACGCCGTGCGGGATTTTAGTGAAGTCCTCTTTCCCCATAGCTTTCTGCTTCGTGGTGAACGGCCGGTGATCTGATGCCACAATGTTCAGAGTGTCACTGGGGAGAGAGAAAAGGCGGGCTGAGGAGCCAGGCAAGGTTGATTCCAATCTTTTTCGGCTACTTAAGAACTGTGTGACCTCTATCGAATTACTCCATCTAAGGGAACCTCAGGATACTCACCCACAGAATGGGAACATGGGCAGAGAGTGCCATGGGAGTTTTCTGGCCTTCGGGATGGTGATTTTTAAGATACTGGGTAGACAGCAGTTGGGCTTCAGATTTAGCTAAAGTGAGATGGCGGAGGTGGTTTTACTATGGTGGAATCACATGCTAACTCCTGCTGCACCCAGTAACCCCTGCTGGCAACAAGCAGGTGCTTGGTAAAGTTAGTGTTAACCTTGGCTAGCTAAATGCAGTCTTTTTGACTCTAGAGGACTACAAGGGAGGGAAGCACAAGGTGGAAGGGCAGTCGGACTTCATGACTGAACGTGGTCTGTGGTGCATCGGTCATCACCGGTGCCATCCGTGACCGCAGTCCTCACGTGGTTAGCAGGGGCTAAGCCACAGCTCCCCGGGTTCCAGGGGTTCCCAGGCTGCCTAAGACTCAGCAAACAGCAGCAGAGGGCACAGGGCACGTGGATGCAGACTCTCTGCCAGTGGAGGGAGCAGGGAGCTGGCCCACATGAGACATCTCTGTTGGCCTGGCCCCAGAGACCGGGAGGGCAGAGGACAGGGAATTCCACGCCTCCAGATCAGCACAGCTTGCAGAGAAACACTGTGGGAAGAGTGGGGAAGGATCAGAGAAGGCGAGTGACAATCTCTGGGGCCACACAGTGGGGACCCCAAGGGTCAGCAACAGGAGTCTCACTGCCCTCAGGCAGTTCCCAGTCAGACCAGGAGCACAGGGCTCCTCCGCTGGAGCCTGCAGGGCTCACCAGTTACAGCTCTTGTCCAACACTAATGTGTTTGACCAAATCCACTGTGTGAAGACACCGTCTCTTCCTGTGGCAGGGCCTGCTGTCCCCCGGGCCGGAAAGACAGTGACAGGCTTCTCCCCAGGGCAGAGGGTGCTCTAGAGCTCTGTTGGCTCTGGTTCCCTTCCATCCCACCAAGGGAATCTCCATGGCTCTGTGTCTCTTCAGGGGCCACAGACACCTAGCAAGGCCTGGCTCAGGAGGTCCCCATCACGGGGCCATGGGTCACAGGTCAGGGACCCCGAAGCACAGGCTCAGCTCCCATTCTTTAACCGACAAGTCCTACAGGGAACCCCACTTTCTCAAAAGGCTCCCACACAGGCAGGTGTCATCAAGAAGACACAAATAAATGTGATTTCTCTCCAAAAGGACTTCTGAGGTCTCCCAGTGTGGCTCTGATCTGGGAGACAGAAAACACCACCTAGAATATCACCTACATGTTCAAGTGAAAAATTTCTGGTCCCGTTAAGAAGTTAGATTTTCAAAAAAAGGGCAAGTCTTTATTTGTGTAGGCTGTGCGTTTGCAAGGCAGGTGAGCTAAATCCCCAGCCCCTGTAAGCTGCATTTTAAAAAATTCCTATTTAGCCTAAAAATGTCAATTTTTATTGTCGCTCTCACTTTTTTTTTTATTATCATATTCTCTTAGAAGAATGATAATTGGTATCTGGGTGTTCTGTCAAGTATTCTGCACTATATAAATTACATCAACAATATGTAGCAAAAACAAAATTATAGTAATCCTAAGTTATTATAAATAATTAAAATGTTAAAATTATACTCAATCATAAAACAGTATGCATTTACAATTGTATACTAATTAAAAAGAAAATTCATCTATTGACATGAAATCACAACTCTACTTAAATGAACAGAATTTATTTAACTCATTAAAATAAGTGGGCCAAAATAAGCTAGATCTGAAAACTTAAGTTACTCAATTAATAATACTTTTTTTCCATATTTCAAGTCTCATGAGTTAGGGCCCTATAATTTGGGTGGTTGGGACATTAGTTAGCTTTTTGTTTTTTCAGTACATTTGCTTGTAGAAAACAAGATGTGTTTCAGAAGATTTTCTGACCTTGGAACTAAGCCCACACTGTCACAGCAGAGTCCTGATAATGTGTGTTTGTTTGTTTGTTTGTTTGCATTGATGATGATGAATAGGAGGTCGTGTCTTCCCAGGGAAAACCAGCTCTACTGTTTTCTTTCTCCCCTGGATTCATCTCAGTCCAGAGGAGTTGCTTAGTGTCACCCACAGACCCCGGGACAGGCTAGCAGCGGTGACTGACAAATACGATGACTTTCAACATCCCATTACGCTGGCCACTTCCTGAAGCAGCTCTCGAGGTCCTCGTTCATGACAGTCTTTAGTTGTCCTTTGTGGCTGCTTTGATTCCTGAATTGCCTCAAAACGGTCACCTTTCATGGTAATTTTGACTTTGGGGAAGGATCAGTGTGGCTCCTGGCACCACACCTGCACGCTGCCAGATCCAGTGAGTAACTGGGGTGTCTGCGAGGCTGCCCTGCAGGGGATGGCACTCGGCAGCAGCGTTCACGGTACTTTTGATCACACAACTTGTGAAGACACCAAAGAGGACCTCGAGAATGGATGCAGACAGTGGCATGGACGATGGGGCGTGTGTGTTTGAAGTGGGGGAAAGTGTGTTGGGGGGACGATGGCCACGTATGTTTTACTGTAATACAATTTTAAAGTTTACACCGTCACTGTGTATTTGGAGAACCCCTTACATAGATCTGCTGCTGCTTCGGGTACACGCTGACCCCGACTTGTATGGAAAAGGCCCCCCGCTTTAGGGCCTTACCATATGGGATGCTGAGAGGGAATATTCTGGTTACTGGCAACCGGGACTAAAGCCAAGGTCAGGGCCCCATTTTCTAGAGGGCAGACACTTCCCTCAGCCTCCCCACATCAGCCTGGAAGAGGTGTCCCGGCCTCCTGCCCCTAGATCTGTGAAAGCAGAGGCAGAGCAGGATGGGGAGTCCTGGCGTCTCAGGTGCCTCCATGTCCCCTGCCCTCTCCTGTGCCGAGGTGGGGAGGGCATTTCAGGAGAACAGAGGCGAGGCAGCGTGCGCTGCTGGGCACTGATGGCCCCACCTTCAAGCTCGGGGTGGCAGAGCTGATGGGCACGGGAAGGGGGTGTTAAGGCTGTGGCCCCCGCCCCCCGACTTGAGCAGAGCTGGGCAGCGGCGGGGAGCGGCCTGACTTCTCACTACAGGCTTGAAACGCCTTTCCACGATGGGGCTCCGTGGAACGTGCACTGTTTGTTCATCAGGCCACATTCCTGCTTCAGGATGGGGCCGATGGGGAAACACAGTGCTAGAGAAGGGTCCAGGAAAGGGATCTGCAGGGAAGGGGCGGGGAAAAGAGGGGAAGGAAAATGGAAGAACGAAGGGAGGAGGACACGGAAGAAAGAAGAGAAGACAGGCAACGAGCAGAGGGCGAGGGGAAGACTTAGGAGCTCGGGTATCGGCAGAGGGCAGGCCACATCCCACAGCTCCCCACAGGACCCAGAGGGATGTGTTCACGTCCCAGGAGACGCTCACTAACCACTGACACAGTACAAGCTCCCCTCCACATCAAGTGGCCGGGGGATCCCCCCGGGTGGCAATTATCTAATGGGCTCCAAGAAGGTGATACAAGCAAAAGCATCCTCTGAGCACAGCGGAACCGAGCTGCCTTTGTTTCCTGGGCTCGAGGACAACCTAAGGACTTGCCATCCCTAGGGGTGTGCCCCGGGCACGAGTGGCCGCTCTGCCTGCTCTGAGGTGCCTTACTTGGCCAGCAGGCTCATGAGGTAGGTGGACGTGTTGGTGTCCAGTCTCAGGGGAGGCACTGTGACGTAGGCGGCTGCGTGGGACCAGTCCTGGTGGTAGTAGTGTAAGCCCGTCAGCGTGGCGTGTGCAGTGGTAGTCTCGGCCAGCACCACCTTCCCTGGAGGAGGAAAGGTCAAACCGTGACAAGGAAGCCTCTGGACCCAAGAGACCAGGGGCTCGAGGCTCACCTTACAGGTGAAAGCCAGGGATCTCCCAGGCTGGCTAAGGCCGGGGCATGGGTGTGGGGTGTGTGCGAGGTGCTGTGGGGGCCATGATGTAGGGCAGGGGGCAAACAGGGGCTGTGAGCAGCCCAAGAGAACTGCTGGGTGGGACCTGGAACAGGGCCAGAGGGTAGGGACCATCCAGCAGGCTAAGAAGAGTCTGGGTAAGACTCCAAGAGGGGTTCAGTGAGGCGAGATGCAGGAGGCAGGGTCTAGAGGGCAAAACGGTGTGAAGACCAGGCGCCCTGGCATCTGACTTTTATCCCCGGGGTAGTGACAGTGACTGTTTCTCCTGTTACCAGACCTTCACTGGGTGCTGGGCTGGACTACAGAGGACCCCAGAGCCCTAGGTATTGGCAGGTCATCAGCACTGAGTCATACCAGTGCCCCTCAGGGCTGGGGTGCAGGCTGCAGGTGGCTAGAAAGGGAATTCACCCACACACCGTGGTTTCTCTAGGGATACCCATCCCGTCCCCCCCAAAATCACGCCCACTGGAACTGCTAGGGTTTTTATACAGATTGCCAAGGCAACTGTTAGTAAAACAGGAGACCAAAAAGACACTAATTAATGAGCTAATTTAAAACTTAGATCCTTTTGCCAGATCAAGCGAGGTGACAGACTTTTCTGTAAGGCTGTTACACATGGGAATGTGTGCGAAGGTGTTGTGCACAGAACCCAGTGGGGGCGGAGCTCTGAGGACAGCAGAGGGAGAAGGGCCAGGCTGGGCTGCAGCCCTGCTGAGAACCCGGCCTGGGGAGCGCGCTGTAACAGACTCGCCACACAGCACCCACCCAGGGAGGACCCACCTTGCATCTTGGCAGCTGCGATAACGTCACCCGCGGAGATGCTGGACACGTTGACCAGGTAGACGGGACAGTGAGTCTGAACACATAAGCAGCGGGGATAGGAGGGTCAAGCCGTGAACTTGACAACCATGGAAACATCCCCAGGACAACCAGCCCTGGGCCAGCACCTGCGCTGCTCATCCCCGCCCTCCAGGTGACCACGGTCTGAGACCAGGCTGGCAACCAGAGCACAGGCTGCCGGCTGAGAACCACGAGAAGCAGGCAGAAGCCAGCACCAGAGCCCGAGGGGTGGCCGGCCTGGAGGTCAGCCCCGGTGGTGACTTAGACTGCTGAATCTGAATCTCACCTTCTCTCCCATCCGACAACCAGGACTGTAACTGAAAGGGACGATTCTTTTTTGTATTTGAATTTCCTGTTCTTAAATGTGATGAGCTAGAGACAGGCATGTATTCTGCCCTCTACCTGCAGTATAATGTCTGCAGTCTAAAGGCTGCCTGCCTTGTCAGTAGACAGACAACCAAACACAGGGACTCTGGGTCCAGCGCCTCGGGTCACAGTCACAGACAAGACTGATCTGTAATCAGATCCCTGGATTGGCAAAGGGACTAGCTTTTCCTCTACTACTGTTTGTGACTGTGGTCCAGGGCTGAACTTCTCTGGTCACATGTTTGAGCTAAAAACCAAGAAGCTGCCTTTTGGTTGTTCAGAACTTTGCTGGTTGTGGAGTAAGTTTCCTCCAGGAAGTAACTGGTGGATACCCATCAGCCAGCAATGGGAAGAAATCCTTATCCAGCTGTTAGACTGCTGGACTTGTAAAGAGCTAACAGGAAAATGTTTCCCTACGTGTTATTCTGATGCCGTCTTCACTGATCAAATCAGGAGGACGTGTGAGTTTGGGAAGTGGCTGGAGGCTTCTCTCTGTTTTTGAGTCCATGGCTCGAGTTAGCATTTCTGTTTTTTTGGTACTGGGAATTGAACTCATGACCTAACATTTGCCAGGCAAGTGCTGCACTGATGAGCTATATTCCTGGCCCCTAGTTCGTATTTCTAAGACCCCAGTTCTGACAAGTAATGCTGATACTGCCAGACCAGGGATCGTCCTTTGAAAACCACTGTTCTAGGGATGGCAGCTCAGATTATCTGAGCACACCGAACCTTTCATGATGGGTTAGAAGACATGAGCTGCACAGGTTCTACTGTTTATAAAGTGCTTCTCTTTCAAAGGAGCTAACTCCTTTGATCCCCAGCAGCCTTGCTGTGAAAAAAGGGTATCATCATTCCAACTTGATATAATGCAGTAATGGGTCAGAGTGGGTAAGCGACATGAAAACCTGTGTTAGGTAAAAGTCAAAGCTGACGTATCTGCACCGTCTCTCGATGGTTCCCACTATCACATTCCACTGGTGCCTTTTAACCCGGAGGAACTTTACCCTAAACCACACAATAAATCAAAAACAATGGCCACATTTAAATTGTGGTTCTTTAAGTCACAGGTCTACCTATTCCTTCCAAAGAGACAGATTCCGGTTGTGGTGAGGCTTGGGCCCCACCCCTGCCACCTTCACCTGCCTCTCTTGGGAACCATTTACAGTTGAGCATGTCAGCTTGGGCAGCTTCGGATCCCTGAAAGGGTGGGACAGAGAGCTGGGGGCAAGCCGGATGCACTCCAGAACTCTGGGATAGCGGCCAGTTAGCAAATAGGTCTGGGGTCCTGGGGGCCACGTGGCACTGGCCCCCAGAGCAGGAACGACACCAAACCATGATCCCAGCACGAGGACCAGCCTACTTACCCTGTTTGCAATGGTGATGACTCGATGAGTGGCCTCCACTTCCAGCTGTCAGAAACAAAGCACAGGAAGGAACCAAGTGTCAGCGGCTCCCTTCCAGCCAGCTGCACCTGCCTGAGAGCCCTCCACAGGATAAACGCTGGAGTAGCTGACAGAGCAGGAGGGACCCTCTGTCCCACAGGGGCTGGCTGGGGTGAGACTCAGGCAGGAGAGTCACACTCCAACCACCTGGGTGTGGGCAGCAAATGAAGGACCTGGACTGCCACCCCTGTCCGTTCTGCCACAGCCACCCTAAAAACTTGAAGAAGCAGAGGGACTGGCGTCAAGCTGGCAGCTGGCCTTGCTCAGGGTTTCTGCAGCTCGGCACTGGTGATAGTTAGAGCTGAATAACCTTCGTGGTGGTGCTCTCTGAGCTTTGTAGGATACTGACAGCCTCCTTTACTTCTGCATACTAGCTGCCAGCAGCAGCCCGTTCCCTCCCAGCGGGGACAGATAAGAACACCTCTAGACATTGACTCTGTCCTTCGGGGAGCAAAATCTGCCCTGGTGCAGCCTCGGGTCCACTCTTTGACTAGCAGATGCTGATGGTGGCTCTTTTGGCTGTCACCGTAGTCAAAGCCTTGCTCTTTCCTTGTGCTCCCTGATAAAGTGAGCTAGGCCTGGGTTCACCCTGGCACCTCACCTGTTGATTTATTTGGTAAACCTGATGCCTTTTTCTTTACCAATCCTGAGTTGCCTCCACGGGACCTGTATTCCAAGCAGTGGAGGAGACAGGGACAGAGGCAGGACAGGAGGCAGGTAGTGTGACTTGGCTTATGGGTGATGGTGGGACCATACATGTATCTCCTGGACATTCAACCGCCTACCACTCACGAGTGATATAGAACATCAGAGCAGAGGCATAGAGCAAAAGGGCACATTTATCTAACGTGGTTCCTCAGAAAGTAACGAGGCAGAGCATGAGGGATTTGTGCCTGAAAAACTGTTTGCAAGGAGAGAAGCAGAGTCCGGAAGAGCACAGAGCTCCTAATGTCCAGTTCAGTGAGTAATCAAGGAAAGGGCACGCACGGGTATGTGTCCCTTGTTTCTGGCGAGAACGGTCCAAAATATCCCTCAGATGGGGTGCTTACCCTTTTTGTCTCTTTTGGGCCCTGATTCGGCTCTGGCAAAGCCATCTTGGGGCTGACACTGTCTCCCTGACAGCCTTGACATGGGAATCAGTGGTGGTGGGGAGACACTGTTCCCCACCGTCTCTTCCAAGGAAGTTCAAGGTCAAGTTTGCCTTAGCCTAGAGGGAGCTGTTAGCCTTAGTCTAGGGAAGCTTCCATACGGAAGGGAATTGTACCCATGGAGAAGGTGATAGGGCTTATATTTTGGGTGTTTCTTCTATCCTAAGGTTCTGAGTCCTCATGAAAGAAGCTAAAAAGAGACGTAGGAAGTCTTTCTCACCTCCTCTGGACGGCTGATCTCAATTCCTTCTGGGCCAGTGATACCCAAATCTAGTGCCTCCTTAGCACCCTGAATAATGGTAAAAGAAAAAAAAAATCTGAGTCATACAGATAAATGAAAATACTGAGCTGGGCATGGTGGTGCATACTTAAGTTTCTAGCACTCTGGGAGGCCGAGGCAGGAGGATCTGTTTGGAGCTCAAGCCAGGGCAACTTTAGTGATTTAGTGGGACCTTGTCTCAAAATAAAAACAAACAAACAAATAAATAAATAAATAGGCCTGAGAATACAGTTCAGTGAGAAGGCCCTGAGTTCAAACCTCAGTATTGAAAAGACAAACAAAATTAAATACAAAAAAATTGAACCCAAGAGATGATCAAATATGTTACACAGCCCATGCCAAGAGGCCGGCCACATGTCTCAGTCCTGGTAATATTCATCTTCTACAGAGTAAGTGCAGGACCACCATGCAATATGGCTCTCCTGATACTCATTTTTAAATAACCAAATGTATCTCTTTCTCTAAGAAATACAGCTAAGTGATTAGTCAACAGGCATGGGACACCATAGGCAAGTACTGGCGGTTGATTTGAAGGAGTTTCCTCCCAGGAAATCTGGACAAACCTCTAGCTTCAGCGACTCCTAGAGCAGCCTTCACCCGTAATCTAGAACCAACAGACCTGTCTCTTGGCACCAGAGAATAAATCTCTATGATATCTTTGTCCCTCTCAAGAGGCACAGGAAGGTAAAAAGCATATTCTTGTTTATCCTGTATGTCACATCTCGTTAAAGTACTGCAAACTCTTTCGCTATAATGAAACTTATATAATCACAGCATCTGGGAGGTGGGGAAGGGCAGGTAAAGGGGGGTGGATATGATCAAAGCATGTTATGTGACATATGAAACTGTCACAGTGGAATCTAATATTCTATAAAATCAATATGTATTAACAAAAATACGTCATGGCATTAGAACTAAAGCATACCTAAGACTGACTTGCAAACTATTTTGGATTTTAAAATAGATCAGTTTCGTTGGTTTGTTTGTTTTTTATACACAATAGAAGAGTTTAGGTCTTCTGACTAAGACTTGGAACCCGAGGTGTTTGTATCTCACACTTTGCTTTCCAACTTGTTTGGCTGAGCCTTGGGGGGTCAGTGACAGCTGGCAGGGCCCCCCACCTCCACTGCTTCCACATCCTCTACTTGCCTCAGCCACAAGCTCCCCATTTTCAGCATGAACTCGAGGGATCGCCCCAATGTCCTTGCAAGCGTAGAACACTTGGTACAGCTCACTGTCCCGAAGCATGTACAAGTCCTTGTAAGTCATGAACATCTGGAATGAATTGACACCCTTCTCCCTCACCAGCATCTCCATTTCTGCTTTCACCTGCAGAGCAAAATGCACAGACAATGCTGGTGAGTACTGATATCCCAGAGCTGCCTGGCAGGTGCTGGCCCAGCAAGGAGGCTGTGTGGGGTCCATGTGCAGCACGGCCAGTCACCACGCGACTGCTGCCGTCTGCAGGGTCTCATGCTCCAGAAGCACTCTGAAGCATGCCAGGCATGATGCAACAGTGGGGTAACCATAGCCTCAGATGATGGGCATGCTTGACCTTCACTGGGCAGGCTTGTCCAATGTTTGCTCCAAATCAGCATTCTCGGTAAATGTAAGAATAACAACTTTTATTCCGATGCGCCATGCCCTTCCCTGCATAATGGAAATGGTGTCATAAGGAAGGCATTCTTAGGCTAAAAATCCAGAGACTTTGGCAACATCAAATGATGAGCAAAGCAAAACATGAACAAAGCTATGCAAATACAGATAATCATCCTGATGCTGTGATGTTAGGGTAAAAAACATTGATCCAACCAGAGCAAGCAGCTTGAGGTTCATTTACTTCCCAGAATGTCAGTCGCCATGAACATGCAGGTCATGAAGACCGCAGCAAAATAGAAAATTCACTCAGGTGGAAAGTTACTACTTACATAATATGTACAGTGAGCTAAAGCAAAAATCAGGAGGAGTAATGAGCTTCTTTTCTTTTGCACTTTAAAAATCCATAATTAGAAAGCAATATTTGTTATGAGATTTTAAAATCCTAGATGCCCAAAAGTCTTCAGAATCTCTGACAGCTAAGGGAAGGTTGCCTGGCTTAGACAGTATTGCTGGGAATCAGGCCAGGCCGGCACCAGCAGAGAATGCCCCAGGTGGGAATCCCTGCCCCAGAGGGAGACCTTTCCAGGACAATCTGGGGTGAGGGATGCCGACAGTCAGCCTGGCCCTCGTGGTCAGCCTGGTGCCCAGATGGCCTTCACGCTGCAAGGGTTCCAGGACTCTAGTGCTCGCCATCTTGGCCAGGCTGGGAATACTGGAAGAGCCTCGAGGCCTGACCAAGGCTCCAACCAGCTCAGAAGTAGCGGAGGCTTGAATGCGATCTCAGAACAGAGCCAGGCCTCTCAGACCAGGATCACAACTGCACAACTTTGTAAAACTTCTTACTGCATATTATTTCTTTATGTTTCTGGGCTTAATAAATAATGGATGAATTCAGGCTGCTTCTCTGGAAAATAAGCAGTTAAATTCCAACAACAAAGCAAAATCTAAATGCAGCTGTTTACAGGAAAAGCAAGCACAGGTACCAGTGGGTTCAAGGACGTCAGCCTCCATCTAGGACAGCCACTTGGGGTGGGGCTTGTCCCAGCAGTCCTGGGACTGGGGGCCCCGGTGAGAAAGAAGCACCCCTAGGACGGTCTGTACCAGGCAGAGGCCTCAACTCAGGGCTGACAACCAGGACACAGCCCTGCTTAGCCCGCCCTCCATGGCCTGCCACATAAGGCGTCCCCATTACACAGCAGGCCACGCTAAGAACCTGCAGGGTTGAACAAGGACCTTGAGCTCCTGAGGCCTGGCTTCTGGCCTTGCTCTGTGTGGCTAAGGTCTCCACCTGCTGAAAAATAGCCTCTTGGAGTCAGCGGGGCAGGCCCACTCAAGGAATCTTGAGTTGTTCTTTTGGCAGGTGAGGGAGTTACGCTAATGGTAGGAGGAGGACCCCGAAATGGAGAGCACCAGGCCACAGCTGGCTCAGCCACAGGTCTCTCTGCCCACGGGGTCACTTGTGCTTTCTTCCCAGATTCCACAGCGCCGTTACCTTGGGCGCCCACCAGGTGATGCCCACATGAAGGGCATAGTCACAGCAGACTTTGGGGTCGGCCAGGCTCCGGCACTTCTCGTAGGCTTCCACGAGGGAGGTCTCCTTGTCAGGCAGGACGTGGCCAATGATCATGGTGGTTCCTCCAACGAGCGCGGCCTGTGGGGCGGGGGAGACAGTCTTGTCACAGCCCACCCTGCACCTAAGGTGCTGGCCTGGCCTCAGGCATGCTCAGGACAGTCACAAAGCCTGCTGCACAAGAGTCTGCAAGGACCAAATACAGCAAGCTTTGGGGGACTGTAAAGGGCTCCATAGAGGAGCAGGAGCTGGTCGCAAACCCGTTTCTTCCTTATCCTGGCTTCTACCTGGCACTTGGATAAACACCTGTGTATTACCAGGCCTGAGGCCAGCTCCCAGCTTCCCAATGAGAAGCTCAAAGGATTTTCATGCCAACCTGAATTTACTGGATAGCTAAACATCCAAATACAATATAAAGTGTAATCAAACATCTATTTAAATATGTATTCAGCTACGATCGTATGTTAAAATCATATGAAATGTTCATTTGGATATATGTTTTTTATTCTCTCACATTTCATGAAGCACTTTTACTCCAAGTTTTTGTGAGCATAGCTCAGTGTTGGAGCAGTGTTCCTTGTGTGATGCCCTGGGTTCAAATCCCCAGTGCCACTAACAACAACAACAATAACAAAAACCACCAAAACCAAAACCAACAGACACCACACACACACACACACACACACACACACACACACACAAATCATGTTTAAATGAAAGCTGGGTGTGATGGTACACGCCTGAATCCATGAGTTTCTGGCCAGCCTGGGCTTCATAGTGAGTTCAAGACCAGTCTAAGTATACAGTGAGAACCTGTCACCAAAACAAAAACTTTTCACACACATTTTAAACATCAGTGTCTTTGCCTTCACTCTTCCCAAGCACATCCAGCTTCGTTCCCATCCAGCTTGTCTGAGATACGCACACTGCAGATGCATGTCTGACCGCCGCGTGCAAAACGATCCTGTTCATAATCTCCACAGAACTTTCAGCAGGAATCTTTAAAAGGTCTCACTTGAAATCACAAGGACTCCCAGTCCTTATGCAAAAGCATGACTACATCTGTATTACCCCCCACACACTACTTCCTTGTGGTCCTGGGAGCAACCCCAGGGATGCTCTGTCTACCAGTGCTACACCCCCAGCTTTTGTTACTTTGTATTTTGAGACAAAGTCCAGCTAAATTGCACAGGCTGGCCTTGAACTTTGGAACCTCCTGCTTCAGCCCTAGGTAGATTACACGTTTGCACCATCCTGTGTATCTCCTTCCAGCTTTTTACCATCCAACTGTTCTGGTGATGTCTACAAACTTCCAAACTTCGCCCTGACCCAAGGCTGTTTCGAGTGACTGGGGTTTTCCCAGACAAAACTTTGTTATCAAAATTAAAACAGTGGAGAGAGGACCCCCTGATACAACAGCCGCCCCCTCCCAATATAAACGGGAGAACCTGTCCTAGTTGAGTTCCTCACGACGATTTGGAGTCAGGGTGCCCAGCTGGGGCTCTGGCTCTGCCCTTTCCTAGCTGGAAAACTACAGCCAACTGCTTATCTTCCCTGAAATGCAGATTCCTGTCCATACCTGGGCTACCTCCCGGGCTGGACCGTTGTAAAAGCTCAGTGAAACACCATTTATGGGATGGATTTGGCAAAGCCTTGTTTAATTACTCGGAAGCTGGGTGCTTATGCCTGCTTTCTCAGCACAAGGAAATCATCTTCATGATTTCATGCTTCTCTGTCCAGTTAAATCCTTGACTGCCATTCTGACATGCAGCACTGCTGGCGACTGAAGCACGGAAGAAAACCAGCTCAGCGACCAAACAATAACTAAATGAAGAATATTGCCACTTCGTTTTCCACTCTGATGCCAGCAGGAGCCAGGGCGGTGACAGTGCTGCTCCCGGTGGGTCCTGGAGCTTCAGGGGCCTGACTTCTTGCACAGCCCAAAACAACCGACAGAGGGCAGCAGTTCCGCGACACACGCAGGAAGCGGGCTGTGGCGGGAGGGAGGAGAGCAGATTGCAGCTTACTAGCTGGCTTCTATTTCTGTTTCTGCTGGATCCTGCCAGGCTGATTCATCCTCAGAGCAGGTGGTTGTACTCTATTTTGTCCCACGATGCATTTCTTGCGTTTACACGTGCACATGGGGGTGTATACACCACATTGCTACATGGGGGACTTTACACACTACATTGCTTTATTTTTTTGAGGTACTCGACTGCTTTCCTGTGCATTCCCTTCAGTACATCTGTAGCTCTGGGCAGACAGAGGAACCTGCCACAGCACAGTGATAGAGAGTCCAGACTGTGCCTTATACTCAAGGATCTCAAGGCAAGAGAGGAAGAAGAGCTTCTCAGGCCAACCCCCTCAAGATTGAGCTGATAAAGTGTTCCACAGAATACATTTTATCTTGCTACTGCAGTATGTTTTCATGATGACCTGTGCCTCCTCTGTCCACACTTTCTACTTTGACCTCATACCTCAGCCCCCACAAAAGTGCACACACTTTGGGCCAGTGCTCAGCAGGCCAGCGGGCTTGTGTAGGCTTCAGGAGGGCACCGGTTCTCCATCAGAGAATTCTAGGGAGCTGAGTGGTCTAGGAGTTAGCGAGGGAGCGCTGGGCAGACATAGCTCCTGCGGCAGGTGGGAAGTTTCCCGAGTTGTCAGAGGACTCAGGCTGCACCCAAGGCAGAGGATCTCCTGGCGTGAGTCTAAGGGCAGGAGCTGTCAAGCGCTCTGGAAGGAGTCTGGAGCACCATGCAGTGAATGTGCTTGACTTCTGCACTTACTGGCTATAACCCAGGAGCAGCTGCCAGGGGCACAGAGAGGGCTGGGGGCTAGAAGGGGCACATAGCTGCCTGAGCCACCATTCAGCGGTTACCCCAGGCCTCCAAACAAGAACCCACCCCCACACAGAGCTGACTTTGGAAGTGTGCAGCTCCCGCTCCTAGGACAAAGGCTTAAGCTCTGCTGTCACAGAGGCAACAGATTTTTTCCAGGTACTCACATGGGGTGGCTGGGGCAAGATAACGGTGGAGGTTTTCAAAAGGCTACTGTTTATGAACATGCGCCTGCATGGCTGCTGGGTGTTCTAGGTGAGCCAGAGAAGCCCTTAATGAAGTCAGTGAGACAATGTTTCCTTTTTTTTTTTTTTTAAATCCGTACCAGGGATCGAACTCACAACCACACGCTTGCAAGGCAGGCACTGTGCTGCTGAGCTAAATCCCCAGCCCCTAGAGACGATGTTTCTAGAAGCCAAGTCAGAGTGCACAAAAGGGTTGCGTTACCTTGAGTGATGTGGGTGAAACTCAGGATGTGGACAAAAGATGCTTGGAACTGTTGGAACACACACAGCTCCACACAGAAGAGAGCCTGGGGGAGGTCTACCACAACACGAACCTCAGCTGCAGAGGGATGATGAGATCCTGAGCAATTTATTTATTTTTATTCTCTATCATTTATTTACTTAGCAGCAAAAACTAAAAGCAATAGGTTACTTTGATAATATATACTATGCAAATAAACTTAGAGGAAGATAAAACTATTTCAAATTTAGTTAGCTAAGGTTTGTGTTTAAAATGCTCTACAGCTAGGCACAGTGGTGCATGCCTGTAGCCCCAGAATTTTGGGGGGCTGAGGCAGGGGATCGTCGTGAGTTCAAGGTCATTCTTGACTACATAACGTGTTCAAGGTCAGCCTGAACCACATAGCAAGACCCTGTCTTAAAAAAAAGGGCTTTACAGTTATGAAATATTTCAGATAGAAGTACTATAAATGCTAGAAAATAAAAATAATAGGAAATAAAATAACACATATGTCTTTTTTTTTTATTGGTACCAGGGATCGAACTCACGACCACAGGCTTGCAAGGCAGGCACTTATGCTGCTGAGCTAACTCCCCAGCCCTAACAATATAACACATATTTCATGTACTCTGTATTCAAACTCCTGATTCTTCTGCCTCAGCTTACCAAGTAGGTGGGGTTACAGGTGTATCTTTTGAGGTTGATATAAATTCCTCCCACCCATATTTTTATGCTTTTACTCTGTTTGCCTTGTGAATTAAAAAATAATTTAGCCAAGTACAGTGGTGCATTCTTACAATCCCAGCAGCCTGGGAGGCTGAGGTAGGATTATAGGTTTGAGCCCAGACTGCAATTTAACAAGACCCTGTTTTAAAAATCAAAAGGTCTGGTGATATAGCTAGTGTGAGGACCCTGATCCCCTAATGTTGCAAAACCAACCAACCAACCAAACAAATAACCCAAAGGGTATCAAACCGTTGGTGTCCTTCAGCAACTTGTTTTATTTTTGTTTACGGACACTTCTCTCTCGTTGGGTACCTGAACATTCCGTGCATGTGTGAGCAGAGCCCACACTCAGAGTGTGTGCTGCCAGGAAATAGGGGGTGCAGCACTGGGGCCCCCCAACTACCCAGGACCTGTCCTGCAGGAGCCGACCTCACCAGACCTCCCTGGACCTGGGGGCTCACGACACTGCCTATCACACCAAGTCCTCTTTTTCTAATGCGAGCTTCTGCTCAGCCGGGCCTTTTCTACTGTGTATGTGACATGTTGTTATCCTGATGCAGGACTTCATCCCCTTACTGTTGAGTTAACCTGGACTTTTTGGCTAATCAACAGTCACAGCACACCATTGTATCAATTTTTCAGAGTATGAAAGGTAACTGTAGTAGTTCAAAGAGTTACTGTTTTTTTTTCTTTTCTCTCTCTTTTTTTTGTTATGTTATTTTCTTTTTGACATTTGTGACATTTACTGCTAGGTAAATCTGAATTTATTTGATATCCAGTAATGCCACAACCATTTATTCCTAAAAACACCTAATGCACTTAGTAGGGACCTGGAGTAACCCTGCAATAATTATGCCATGTTAGGGCACAGCTTCTAGCAAACACTAAAGAGCAGGAACTCGTACTAGAATTCAGCTTCTGCCTTTTACAAACGTGCTTCAGAATTTCATTAGGCCCCTGCGGGGGACGTGGCCTGGATTTCAGTATGAACCAAGGACCTGCTCAGCAAGTTGGAAAAACATTTCAGACAGTCCAGGGCATTCAGATTTGATT